ATAAGATGACTGGAGTCTTCTTATTTATAATACGGTAACTTTACACTTTTCCTAGTGTTAAAGTCAATATTAATTATAAAAAAACAGATATAATAAAAGCGGAAGTGAGACGGGTTCAAGACACCCAAACTCCCCCAATACCTTTCCCTTATTTTGGACGAATAAGTAATCAGTCCATCCATCTTAACACAATTTTTATTATATATATATATATATATATATATATATATATATATATATACATATATATATATACATATATATATATATATATATATATATATATATATATATATATATATATATATATGTATATGTATATACATATATATGTGTATATATATATATACACATATATATATGTATATATATATATATATATATATATATATATATATGTGTGTGTGTGTGTGTGTGTGTGTGTGTGTATGTGTATAGATAGGTAGATATAGATATATAGATATATATATATGAATACTGTATGTTTGGGTAAGAAAAGGCAATCGCCTGTTTTTCTCTTTATTGAAAGGTAACAATGACATTACAGCTTTACAGCAACAACAGACACTATAGAAGGCATCCATCTCCAAATAAAACACGAAAGAACAAAAAAAAATGTTAACAGCTATAAGAAAAAAGAGGGAAAAATTAATCACAGATAGCGCCGAGTTTCTTATCGAAAGGGATTGAGGTACAGCCAGCCATCGGTTGTGGTTATATTATGAGGGGAAAATTTTTTGTTTTCTTTTTGTTTATTTTTGTTTGGGTGATGTTCTCAATCCCAGTTCCCTTCATGGCGCCTAATGTTCTCTGGGAAGGATGTTGCAACATTTGTATTTATTCAATTTTCCGTTGCAGGTCAAAAGATTGCTTGTGATGCCTTTGTGGAAAATTACACAGTAAAATATATCTAAATCTACACTTTTATCAGAGTTTCAATGTTTCCCATCCACCTTCCCTCTACAAATGGATCAAAGGCAGAAAACTAGCTATTTAGCCAAGTGAAACTATATTTTCAAGTTCTCTCCAAGACCACCAGTACTACGCACTCAAAGCTACCCCTTCCACGCCCTCTCTCTCTCTCTCTCTCTCTCTCTAACAAAATCAATAACAAATAAATAAATAAACAAAAATGAAAATAAAAAGCAGCCACTCAGCCATCTATCCGTCGAGTTACAGAGAACCTAAATATACAGCTACACTTGCTGTTCCTCCAGTCGCAGTGGTTCACCCCATTACGTCCCCAAGAGTGCCACCTCGAGAGCGCCACCTCTGCGGTTCCTTAGAAGTGCCACTTGGGGTTGGACGAGGCTCTGGCCACCCAAACCTTGTCCCCGACCTTGACCTTCCCGCACACGTCGATGCCCATGTGGGAGCCGAACACTGGCTTGATGGACCACGCTTTGGCGAGCTGTTCTGGGCCGTCCAAGAGCCGGTACCTGGAGGCAGACACAGGCAGGAATAAGGGCGGGTGTATGGAAAAGGAGGAAGAGGAACAAGAAGGAGGAGGATGAATAGGAAGAGGAGGAGGAGGATGGGGGAGGAGGAGGAAGAGGAGAAGGAGGAGGAAGAAGGGGAGGAGGAGGAGGAAGAGAAGAAGAAGAAGAAAAAGAAGAAGAAGGAGAAGAAGTAGAGATAGGAGGAGGAGGAGAAAAATAAAACGTGATGACTGAATTATGAATGGACATGTCGGGCGGGTGGGTGGATAGTGGGAAGGGGAGAGAGAGAGAGAGAGAGAGAGAGAAAGGGAGGGAGAGAGAGAAGAGAGAGAGAGTCAATGATTCAATGAATGAGAAAAGGAATGAATGAGTGAATAGGTGAGTGAGTAGCAAAAACAAAAGGCAGAGACAAAGTGACAGACAAAGATTATCTAAATCACACTTACTTCCTCAGAGTTGCCATAGGTTCCTGATCAGCTGTCTTGCAACCTTTGTAAGGATCTACAGTCGTGAATATGCACCTGAAAAGACAACAACAAATAAATATTAAACAAAAATCGATTTACTATTTTCGTTCACTTTATATTTTATAAAACCTGTAAGAATTTTCAAAATCAAAACATCAAACTAAGTGAAATTTCGAACCCTTATATGGCATATAGGATAATAAAATATACAATTTCTATTTAGTTATAAAAAAAAAGAATACTTTCTACCTAATCTCAACGTCTGAACACTAATATGAGCCAGTTAAATAGTTCCCTATACACGACTAGGACAACCTTTCATAAAGCACGAGCAAAGGAACATGGGGAAAAATTGATTAAATACGACCAGTTTCATGAAATCAGTATATAAATCAAATGACACATATCCAATATATATGAGACGAGGAGGATCTCAAGGTCCATTTTCTTCCTGAAAGTGTGTTTCATACCGTGACTTTCCTCTCTCGGTTTCCCATTGGGATTTACACGCTCCCCTATTTCACCCCCCCCCACCCCACCTACCTCCATCCAGTAATCCCCACCCTAGTGTGACCCCAGTAATCCCAATCTCAGCGTGACACCATTAATCCCCACCCCAAGGTTGCCCCAGTCATTCCAACCCAAATGTGACCCGAGTCATCCCCAGCTCAATGTGACTACAGTAAGACCCACCCCAGTGTGAGCCCAGTAATCCCCACCCAGTGTGTGCCCCAGTGAGCCCATACCTATTAACCCAAACCCACTCACACGCCCAGCCCTTCCTGTCCAACCCACCCTTCCCGTAGACCGCAACTCAGACCTACCGATCACAAGGCTTCAACCTCCTCAGCACCACGCTTTCTTCGCCTTCCCCTCCGAACCTGACGAAGGCCCAGTCGTCCTCGTCATATGCCGCCGAGCCCTGGACCACAACGTTGGCACGGAACCAGTCGATCGTGACAGGTTCGGCCAAGCGGGCGTTCAGGTCGGCAAGTGAAGATTCTGAGGCCAGCATGTATGCGCACGTGTCGGCGTAAGTCACCTACGGATGGAAAATAATCAGTTACAGTTATGTAATGAAGTGCTTAGACAAACAGACAAAGATACCAATTCAAACAAATAAATCCTCCCCCTCCCTCTGCTTTCTTTTATTTCACTCCCAGGGTTTATGTTTATTCTGGTGGCAGCATTAGGGTCTTCCTAAAACCCCAGTCTCACCGCTTTTGATGTACCTGCTTCTCCTAACTGAAAAAAGAGGACATCTGTGAAATTGTAGTCTGAAACGCATCTCCTCAAAGATACCTGGGATTGTGATGTGTAAAGTCTTATCAGTTTCTTAAGGGAGACTAGTGCTAAACAAAATTTGATTATCGATTATATTTATGCAATAATTTTATACTATTAGACTCTATTATTTCTGGTTTGATTGTTAATATAAATTTCACTGTTACTTATTTTTACTTATGAGAGACATTATTTATTGATAGCATTTTAAACGTTTTAGATAATTTAACATTTTAATCTCACAAGGTATTTGCGACTATTTCATTTTCAATAATCTGTCAATCTGTCAAGGGCACCTGACAACTCACAGGCAAATGTAGAATCAGTTTGTCTTACGCAATTTCCTCAGACATCTTCCACAATCCATTGACTGCTAACTTTGTTTAATCTGGTTGGTAGACCTGTTCCTGAGAAGTGATTTTAAAACAGCAATATATGTAACATAGTGATGTCTCTACTATTAGTTGATAAGACGGAGTCTAATGGCCCAGTGTAAAGTCTCAAAATGCTGAAATCAACGATATACCATAGCGAATACACACACACACACACAGATATATAGTATTTCACTATATATCTATACCTGTATGTGTCTATATGTTCTCCATCCCCTCGACCACCAACCTTATCGGAGTCCCGGATATGTTTGAAGTCGTAGTAAGGAGCCCGCCTGGCGCAGCGCTGGGTCAGGGGGTCCTCGCCGTTGTACAGGAGTCGAACTGGGGTCTCTCCTGCCGAGACAGCTTGGCTCATCCACGCAGCCACCTCGTCGCCGCAGTCGAGTCCTTTGGCGTTGGCCCCGAAGACGCTGTAGAAGGAGAAGGGGGCAGAAGTGAAGCGCTGGGAGGAGAGAAAGGGTATTTGTGTGTGTATGTGTGTGTGTGTGTGCGAGCGTGTGCGTGTAGAGATGTGCGTGCAATATATACGGATGGATGGATAGCCTCTGGAATGGATGACGGATGAATGGATGTCGGCTTACATACATATTTTGTTTTAATGATGGCGGTTGTCAAACTATTATCACCACCAATCTCTTTAATTATCAGATAATTCCGCTGCCACGAACTATTTTTCCCCCTTTGATGAGGATGAAGTTAATGCTGATACTAATCCTCATACTGGCAGTGAACAAGGATGATGTCTACCGATTAAGGATTTGTGAGAATGATCTTAATGATCCTGTTGCTCATTATAACAACAGCAATATTAACAACAACAACATCGGAACTCACACAAGCTCAACCACCTTCGCCTCCTTGGCCACCAGCTCAAGGTCAACCTCGATCGGCCCAGCTGGGTTGTCCGGGCTCTCGAAAGTCACCTTATGACCTTCGAAGCTGATGGTGACTCGGGTCAGCTTGGGAACCTGGCGACCTGTCAGCAGCGGCCCGTCCTTCTTCATGACCAGGAATGACCTGTGAGGAGAGACAGATAGATTGATAGAGATGAGAGAGAAAGGGGGGGGGAAGGAGAGGGAGAAGGAGGAGAAGAGGGAGAGAGATGTATTATAAATTCACTGGCCGGGTTATAATGCAATAACACAAGCAATAACTGACTTGTAGTAGCTGCTGATGAAACAATGATATTAATAACAATAACAATAGTAACAACAAAAATAACAAGAGCATCAGTAATAGCAATGATAACTCTAACAACACTAATTATCATAGCATCATACCATCATAGCAATAGCAATAATAATATCATTCCTTATTATCATTATCTTTTTTATTAGTTTCATCATTATCATTATTATCACTATCATATCATTATTATTATCATTATCATATCATTATTTTTTGTATGAACA